GGCACATACAGTCCTAAATTGTCTTGTTCATCATCACACATTATCACCACGTTGCTGTAGTTGAAGTGTGCCAATAATCTGCCCAAGAACATATCCAGGCTGTAATCAATATAGGGCGAGAACATGGTCAATGTGGGATAGCGCTTCTTGTTGGAGAAACCAAAATCTCCCCATTTGCTGAAAAGACATAAGGCAGTTTAAGGTGAATGCAGATAATTAAACACTTATTTGAGCATAATGCAGTTACCATAATATCCCGAAAATAAGGATTTACCGGTTACTTTGAGCTATTACAAGTACTTACGTGACTAGCATCTGTTTGTTCCACGCTGCAAAGCACACGTTTGTTGGTTAATGATAACGGTATTCGTTTCGCTCTTCATGCGTACATATTAAATCATATTTATGTCTAATAAAAAAGGAAAATCAATCGCAAGAGTGGAGCAGCAGTTGCCGTATTGTTAGTGCATTACTGCAGACCTATCTGTATTGTCTGTGTTTTTTTTTCCGCAAAAATTATAACATTATGTGCCGTTGATGCGTAGCTTACTTCTCGCCAGTGCAGCTATGGAGGATGCTGCTGCTGGACATTCTATAACAAACAGCAATTTACAAACATTAGCAGGGACATGTATTTGTCAACTTCAATAACTGTCATATTTTGTTCCGTTTATTACCTGGGCTGAATACCCCCATGACCGGATTACCATCCGCCTCATGGTAAAAATAGCGCGTAATCCAGAATGCTGCTTTTTGATCCATCCCAACGCATGTCGTCACGTTACGGTCATAGATGAGAACTCTGGTTATATTCAAAGTATCCTTGTAAGGTGCCATATCTTCCTGCGCCTTAGCGATCACGGGACCAGCAAAGCTCAGACTGGTTGGTGTCTTGTCGCCCCATAGAAAAAGCTGCACCAATGCAACGTCCACGGGGGATGTCGTTACGCAGCGGATTACAGCAAAAGCCGAAAAGAGTGCGAAAGGAGGATGCATTGGGACGCAGTTACACGACTGACTGATAACCGGGTTCTAAAGTTTCAACACCAGTTACGATAAAAAATACACAAAAAGTTACATCAGAAATTTGTGGTCCTGAATTAAGTTACCGGGTCCAAAGATTCCCATAACAGGGTTGCCGGTAGCGATCTTATCGTGATATTTCGTAGCCCACAATGCTGCTTCCTTGTCCATCATGTCGCAGGTGGTTACATTGCGTGTAAACAACAGGATTCTGGTTATATTCATTAGTGTCTTGTACGGAGCCAAATCTTCCACGGCTTTGGTGAATGCAGGACCAGCCAGGGTCAGACTGGTTGGAGTTTGATCTCCCACAGGTAAACCTGTACCAACGACACATCCAAGGTAGATGCCGGTACACAGCTAAGTGCAGTGAAAGCAGATAGGAAAAGGAATGAAGTCCTTTGAAGGCCCACTGGACGAGGGCTGGGATCCATGAGTAATAATGTCACACTGACAACCAGAATCAAGTAATATTGGGATTTCTACCTGGTAAGATTTTCAAATCGTCAAATTTAGCCGTTATGCATTGAATTTGGTAATAAATGCTGGTTGAGTTTGGTACACAAAGGTGGACAGTTAAAACCTACTCTAAGGCACAGAGGCATTACTGGAGTTTTGTCAATGATGATCTTTGTCGAATGTCAAGTTTTGTGGTTATTGACATGTTCACCACCTTGACTTGTTTGACTTTGTTGGCAGTTCTGTTAAACGCAAAGTTTATGGTGTTTCGACTGGCAGCCGGTCTAATTAACCGGTTGTTACATAACACTAAACATCAACCGACAAAAGCGCACCAATCCGTACTTTAAGTGAGCTAACGACAATTACATTCTACTGATATATGGACATGGACGACGGCGGTGTATACGACAGGACTTGTAGCATCCTTTCATTCCTTAACGCATGCATGAATAAACATACAATGCATGAGAAAAAAAAAACAGGTAACTCGTTTAAGCGTACATAGTACACTGCACAAACAACTGGTTCTTCGTTCGAAGTTCGCACGGTTTTACTGCTTAAATATTAAATTTATTAACCGCGTGTCGGTTTATGCTTGGTCTTGTCATACACTTAAGCTGTGGTCCAAGACTTAATACGGGAATCCCTTGTTCATTTTGCAGAGAATCAATAGCAGCAGTAATAAACAATAGCCCCGAAGCGATCTTAATAATCCTTAACATTACGTGCAGTGTTTTGCGTAATAATACTACCAAAACGTTCAAAAATGTAGCTGACAGTGACTTTTTACCAGCTCCTTACCGTTAAAGTGTGTCAACGACCAATATCAAAATCGTTATGATAAAAGCGGAACAAAAGCTTCGATGTATCTCTTGCAAGTCAGGATAATGAAGCCGGCAAATAAAATTATGCTCAGGGCATTCCTTTCACCGCTTGGAATAAGTTTACGACAGCGGCTGCAAGCTGCTGATAGTGGTTCCCTTGCTTGCTTGCACCTTGCTCTGAAAATCAAAACAAATAGTAACGATAAATTGAATTAATGGCCAGTGTTGTAAGTGACGTTATTCGATTTTTCCCGAATTTTTAGCAGTTATGTATCTGTACACGGCTACATCGGCGTGTGCTAGGGCGTCCTTCTAAATTGAACAGTTTTTGTCTGTTAAATGCAGCAGCGTATGGAATCAGATTCATTAACTCCAGCCGTAGAAGTATAAATTAAACAGCGGCAAAAACAAAATACGCAAATCACATGAAATCCAGTTATAGCTTTTCCCGTTTCGAGGCGCACATACTTATAGCATCGCACTCTGGTTTAATTCCACGATAGCCGCATTTTGGTTCATTAGGAGGCGGGCTATTACGGTTGTACCAAACAATCTGACGAGTGCCGTCATCCGCTGGGTCACGAGAAGGTGTCACGATATTGCGCTTAGCGGAGTAGTCCATTACAGGCTAGAGACATATAGAAATGATAACAGCCGTTCGTAAACAAAACAGCAGTTTGTAAAGTCGGTTTAATCCACAGAGTACAGCAGCAGAATAGCAGAGTAAAGCGAGAAAAGAGTACCGCGGTAAAGTAAGCCGCATTCCACTGATTCGACATTATTTTAGTCTTCAGCGTGACGTTCTAACTTCGCATCTCCTAATCAGGATCAGTGGCGAATATAGTTCAAGAAATGGTTCTAGCGCACTGATTAAAGTACCAAAAACATTCCGGTTTCGGCATTCATCTGGTTCATTGACCAGTCCGTCTCGCGATCGCCATTAGGGCTGATGCTGATATCTTGACCTAAAATGGTGTATGTTCGGTTCCACATCAGCTTGCTAAGCAGGTACCCGTCGTTGGGATCCCGTCCACTGGCTATAGTTTCATTCAACACCTACCCAGTACAGTAGAAGTCACAAACTGAATTTAGGCAAAAGTGACATTTTGAGAGGCGAACAACTACGATTACCATTTTGGCGCGCTGTTATACTTGTAACTGAGGCAGTCAAACTCTACCACGCTTCTTGATTCGAAGAAAGTTGCGAAGCAACCCCGGCTTGTCGAAATCGTCTGGTTGTTAAACAGTTGACCGTTACCTGGGCGTAAATGGCGAGGGCGTAATAGTATGCCATGGCAAATGGGTTGACCTTTCATACAATGAAGCAGAAATGTTTACAAGATTTTCTTTAATATTAGTGCTGCGTTAGACTGAATATTTTTTTAATAGCGTATGATCGGTGGTGTTTAATCAGACTTAATTCAGCTTACTTTCTCCCCGGCGGCATATGTATAGCCGGATGTACTTCTAGAGCGCTGTTTTATTTCATCCGTAACTTTGCGGTATTCGGGTGTGGCATCCGGATTGCGCGGAGATAATACGAAGAGGGAGCGAAAGGCGGTACGGGCATCCTGAGAAGGACACAAAAAAGCAAAATGAAACGAGCTTTCTGCGGTTCAGCACAGCAGTACTTGCACAGTATTATGCAAGGGAAGAATGCAAAATAAGCTAGAAATCCAAAAACTAGCAGTGGGCACTGATCTGATTGTTAGTTGCAGCTGGTTCTTACCGCATCGCGTTTATCTCGGTCTCCAGTATTCCAGGTAACGCTGCCGTAAAATTTACTGCGTAGATAAAGTTCAAGTGTGAAATAAACCTGCAAACCAAAACGAATGATTAGTAGTTTGCACAGTATAAACAGATTCGGTATATTAGTACTCTAATCGCTCACATAATCGCCCTCCGTCATCTTCTTATCAAACGCTGCTAACTGAAAATACACAGCGAAACATTTAAGATATCAGTAATCAGTCACGCTGTTGCAGGCGATGTCCGCGGATTGGATTACCATGATTGGACGAATCCGGTCGCCATGGGCAATGATGATGATAACTGCAAAGACAGGCTCTTCCGCCATCACGAATTATAAAAAACACTACAACAACCACACTCGTGGTAAGCTAGCTGAATTGGAAAGTTAGCATAAACAGCACAAGGAACTGCTGCCGGTCGTACGTTACATGCAGTGATGCAGGTATTACGTCTGTCCAGTCACAAAATTAATGATTGTATTAGCCTGGTTGTAAATGAAGCAGAAAAGCATGTGCTGACAGACTATTGTCACTTACCTCGAGTCAAAGCTTTTATCTTGTCCAAATAATGCCTGACATTGTACTCGTACGTGGCATTCACATAGAACCGGCTGGCGCTGACATTATACTTCAAACGCAGCGTGTCGAATACGGATGTACACGTGGGCACATACAGTCCTAAATTGTCTTGTTCATCATCACACATTATCACCACGTTGCTGTAGTTGAAGTGTGCCAATAATCTGCCCAAGAACATATCCAGGCTGTAATCAATATAGGGCGAGAACATGGTCAATGTGGGATAGCGCTTCTTGTTGGAGAAACCAAAATCTCCCCATTTGCTGAAAAGACATAAGGCAGTTTAAGGTGAATGCAGATAATTAAACACTTATTTGAGCATAATGCAGTTACCATAATATCCCGAAAATAAGGATTTACCGGTTACTTTGAGCTATTACAAGTACTTACGTGACTAGCATCTGTTTGTTCCACGCTGCAAAGCACACGTTTGTTGGTTAATGATAACGGTATTCGTTTCGCTCTTCATGCGTACATATTAAATCATATTTATGTCTAATAAAAAGGAAAATCAATCGCAAGAGTGGAGCAGCAGTTGCCGTATTGTTAGTGCATTACTGCAGACCTATCTGTATTGTCTGTGTTTTTTTCCGCAAAAATTATAACATTATGTGCCGTTGATGCGTAGCTTACTTCTCGCCAGTGCAGCTATGGAGGATGCTGCTGCTGGACATTCTATAACAAACAGCAATTTACAAACATTAGCAGGGACATGTATTTGTCAACTTCAATAACTGTCATATTTTGTTCCGTTTATTACCTGGGCTGAATACCCCATGACCGGATTACCATCCGCCTCATGGTAAAAATAGCGCGTAATCCAGAATGCTGCTTTTTGATCCATCCCAACGCATGTCGTCACGTTACGGTCATAGATGAGAACTCTGGTTATATTCAAAGTATCCTTGTAGGTGCCATATCTTCCTGCGCCTTAGCGATCACGGGACCAGCAAAGCTCAGACTGGTTGGTGTCTTGTCGCCCCATAGAAAAGCTGCACCAATGCAACGTCCACGGGGATGTCGTTACGCAGCGGATTACAGCAAAAGCCGAAAAGAGTGCGAAAGGAGGATGCATTGGGACGCAGTTACACGACTGACTGATAACCGGGTTCTAAAGTTTCAACACCAGTTACGATAAAAAATACACAAAAAGTTACATCAGAAATTTGTGGTCCTGAATTAAGTTACCGGGTCCAAAGATTCCCATAACAGGGTTGCCGGTAGCGATCTTATCGTGATATTTCGTAGCCCACAATGCTGCTTCCTTGTCCATCATGTCGCAGGTGGTTACATTGCGTGTAAACAACAGGATTCTGGTTATATTCATTAGTGTCTTGTACGGAGCCAAATCTTCCACGGCTTTGGTGAATGCGGGACCAGCCAGGGTCAGACTGGTTGGAGTTTGATCTCCCCACAGGTAAACCTGTACCAACGACACATCCAAGGTAGATGCCGGTACACAGCTAAGTGCAGTGAAAGCAGATAGGAAAGGAATGAAGTCCTTTGAAGGCCCACTGGACGAGGGCTGGGATCCATGAGTAATAATGTCACACTGACAACCAGAATCAAGTAATATTGGGATTTCTACCTGGTAAGATTTTCAAATCGTCAAATTTAGCCGTTATGCATTGAATTTGGTAATAAATGCTGGTTGAGTTTGGTACACAAAGGTGGACAGTTAAAACCTACTCTAAGGCACAGAGGCATTACTGGAGTTTTGTCAATGATGATCTTTGTCGAATGTCAAGTTTTGTGGTTATTGACATGTTCACCACCTTGACTTGTTTGACTTTGTTGGCAGTTCTGTTAAACGCAAAAGTTTATGGTGTTTCGACTGGCAGCCGGTCTAATTAACCGGTTGTTACATAACACTAAACATCAACCGACAAAAGCGCACCAATCCGTACTTTAAGTGAGCTAACGACAATTACTGTACTTACATTCTACTGATATATGGACATGGACGACGGCGGTGTATACGACAGGACTTGTAGCATCCTTTCATTCCTTAACGCATGCATGAATAAACATACAATGCATGAGAAAAAAAAAACAGGTAACTCGTTTAAGCGTACATAGTACACTGCACAAACAACTGGTTCTTCGTTCGAAGTTCGCACGGTTTTACTGCTTAAATATTAAATTTATTAACCGCGTGTCGGTTTATGCTTGTCTTGTCATACACTTAAGCTGTGGTCCAAGACTTAATACGGAAATCTCTTGTTCATTTTGCAGAGAATCATTAGCAGCAGTAATAAACAATAGCCCCGAAGCGATCTTAATAATCCTTAACATCACCTGCAGTGTTTTGCGTAATAATACTACCAAAACGTTCAAAAATGTAGCTGACAGTGACTTTTTACCAGCTCCTTACCGTTAAAGTGTGTCAACGACCAATATCAAAATCGTTATGATAAAAGCGGAACAAAAGCTTCGATGTATCTCTTGCAAGTCAGGATAATGAAGCCGGCAAATAAAATTATGCTCAGAGCATTCCTTTCACCGCTTGGAATAAGTTTACGACAGCGGCTGCAAGCTGCTGATAGTGGTTCCCTTGCTTGCTTGCACCTTGCTCTGAAAATCAAAACAAATAGTAACGATAAATTGAATTAATGGCCAGTGTTGTAAGTGACGTTATTCGATTTTTCCCGAATTTTTAGCAGTTATGTATCTGTACACGGCTACATCGGCGTGTGCTAGGGCGTCCTTCTAAATTGAACAGTTTTTGTCTGTTAAATGCAGCAGCGTATGGAATCAGATTCATTAACTCCAGCCGTAGAAGTATAAATTAAACAGCGGCAAAAACAAAATACGCAAATCACATGAAATCCAGTTATAGCTTTTCCCGTTTCGAGGCGCACATACTTATAGCATCGCACTCTGGTTTAATTCCACGATAGCCGCATTTTGGTTCATTAGGAGGCGGGCTATTACGGTTGTACCAAACAATCTGACGAGTGCCGTCATCCGCTGGGTCACGAGAAGGTGTCACGATATTGCGCTTAGCGGAGTAGTCCATTACAGGCTAGAGACATATAGAAATGATAACAGCCGTTCGTAAACAAAACAGCAGTTTGTAAAGTCGGTTTAATCCACAGAGTACAGCAGCAGAATAGCAGAGTAAAGCGAGAAAAGAGTACCGCGGTAAAGTAAGCCGCATTCCACTGATTCGACATTATTTTAGTCTTCAGCGTGACGTTCTAACTTCGCATCTCCTAATCAGGATCAGTGGCGAATATAGTTCAAGAAATGGTTCTAGCGCACTGATTAAAGTACCAAAAACATTCCGGTTTCGGCATTCATCTGGTTCATTGTCCAGTCCGTCTCGCGATCGCCATTAGGGCTGATGCTGATATCTTGACCTAAAATGGTGTATGTTCGGTTCCACATCAGCATGCTAAGCAGGTACCCGTCGTTGGGATCCCGTCCACTGGCTATAGTTTCATTCAACACCTACCCAGTACAGTAGAAGTCACAAACTGAATTTAGGCAAAAGTGACATTTTGAGAGGCGAACAACTACGATTACCATTTTGGCGCGCTGTTATACTTGTAACTGAGGCAGTCAAACTCTACCACGCTTCTTGATTCGAAGAAAGTTGCGAAGCAACCCCGGCTTGTCGAAATCGTCTGGTTGTTAAACAGTTGACCGTTACCTGGGCGTAAATGGCGAGGGCGTAATAGTATGCCATGGCAAATGGGTTGACCTTTCATACAATGAAGCAGAAATGTTTACAAGATTTTCTTTAATATTAGTGCTGCGTTAGACTGAATATTTTTTTAATAGCGTATGATCGGTGGTGTTTAATCAGACTTAATTCAGCTTACTTTCTCCCCGGCGGCATATGTATAGCCGGATGTACTTCTAGAGCGCTGTTTTATTTCATCCGTAACTTTGCGGTATTCGGGTGTGGCATCCGGATTGCGCGGAGATAATACGAAGAGGGAGCGAAAGGCGGTACGGGCATCCTGAGAAGGACACAAAAAAGCAAAATGAAACGAGCTTTCTGCGGTTCAGCACAGCAGTACTTGCACAGTATTATGCAAGGGAAGAATGCAAAATAAGCTAGAAATCCAAAAACTAGCAGTGGGCACTGATCTGATTGTTAGTTGCAGCTGGTTCTTACCGCATCGCGTTTATCTCGGTCTCCAGTATTCCAGGTAACGCTGCCGTAAAATTTACTGCGTAGATAAAGTTCAAGTGTGAAATAAACCTGCAAACCAAAACGAATGATTAGTAGTTTGCACAGTATAAACAGATTCGGTATATTAGTACTCTAATCGCTCACATAATCGCCCTCCGTCATCTTCTTATCAAACGCTGCTAACTGAAAATACACAGCGAAACATTTAAGATATCAGTAATCAGTCACGCTGTTGCAGGCGATGTCCGCGGATTGGATTACCATGATTGGACGAATCCGGTCGCCATGGGCAATGATGATGATAACTGCAAAGACAGGCTCTTCCGCCATCACGAATTATAAAAAACACTACAACAACCACACTCGTGGTAAGCTAGCTGAATTGGAAAGTTAGCATAAACAGCACAAGGAACTGCTGCCGGTCGTACGTTACATGCAGTGATGCAGGTATTACGTCTGTCCAGTCACAAAAATTAATGATTGTATTAGCCTGGTTGTAAATGAAGCAGAAAAGCATGTGCTGACAGACTATTGTCACTTACCTCGAGTCAAAGCTTTTATCTTGTCCAAATAATGCCTGACATTGTACTCGTACGTGGCATTCACATAGAACCGGCTGGCGCTGACATTATACTTCAAACGCAGCGTGTCGAATACGGATGTACACGTGGGCACATACAGTCCTAAATTGTCTTGTTCATCATCACACATTATCACCACGTTGCTGTAGTTGAAGTGTGCCAATAATCTGCCCAAGAACATATCCAGGCTGTAATCAATATAGGGCGAGAACATGGTCAATGTGGGATAGCGCTTCTTGTTGGAGAAACCAAAATCTCCCCATTTGCTGAAAAGACATAAGGCAGTTTAAGGTGAATGCAGATAATTAAACACTTATTTGAGCATAATGCAGTTACCATAATATCCCGAAAATAAGGATTTACCGGTTACTTTGAGCTATTACAAGTACTTACGTGACTAGCATCTGTTTGTTCCACGCTGCAAAGCACACGTTTGTTGGTTAATGATAACGGTATTCGTTTCGCTCTTCATGCGTACATATTAAATCATATTTATGTCTAATAAAAAGGAAAATCAATCGCAAGAGTGGAGCAGCAGTTGCCGTATTGTTAGTGCATTACTGCAGACCTATCTGTATTGTCTGTGTTTTTTTTCCGCAAAAATTATAACATTATGTGCCGTTGATGCGTAGCTTACTTCTCGCCAGTGCAGCTATGGAGGATGCTGCTGCTGGACATTCTATAACAAACAGCAATTTACAAACATTAGCAGGGACATGTATTTGTCAACTTCAATAACTGTCATATTTTGTTCCGTTTATTACCTGGGCTGAATACCCCCATGACCGGATTACCATCCGCCTCATGGTAAAAATAGCGCGTAATCCAGAATGCTGCTTTTTGATCCATCCCAACGCATGTCGTCACGTTACGGTCATAGATGAGAACTCTGGTTATATTCAAAGTATCCTTGTAAGGTGCCATATCTTCCTGCGCCTTAGCGATCACGGGACCAGCAAAGCTCAGACTGGTTGGTGTCTTGTCGCCCCATAGAAAAAGCTGCACCAATGCAACGTCCACGGGGGATGTCGTTACGCAGCGGATTACAGCAAAAGCCGAAAAGAGTGCGAAAGGAGGATGCATTGGGACGCAGTTACACGACTGACTGATAACCGGGTTCTAAAGTTTCAACACCAGTTACGATAAAACTGCCGAAAGTTTGATTGTCGATACTGGTTTGTGTAATGGTTGCTTTTGTATAAGCAACGGGAAACTGACGCGCAGCTCAGTGTTGCGCTTCAGAACTGAACGTAATTTTTCATGATAGGTTCGGCACTTCCATGAAAATCCTTATAAGCAGTCTTTGTCGGTAAACTTGATGTATACATCTAGCTGGAGGTTCTTTGCTGGTATTATTTTCGCCATAAGCGGTTTTAGCATAATTCTAAACATTCTGTTAATTGTTAAATACTGCATGATTGCTGATTATAAAGACGGTGAGTGTATGGCCTCACTTTTTTCTCCAGTAATTCCAAATGGTTTGCTGTCGCAACAAACCGGAACAAGAAGAAAGTGGAGAATTCGATGGCGCTATAGTAAGTAAACCAAGCAAATTAATTCGTAATTCGTCGGCATTTAAACGGGTTTACCATCGCGTTTCTGCATGATTTATATCCCCTAAACAAGAATGTTTTAATTGTTTCATTTATACATTGGTTCAACATAACATAAACTAGTGATAAATGCGAGTTGTCATCATCGCCATTCATCGGGTTCTAAGATTCGTAGCCTAATATCGCGCAATTGTGGATATAGTTTTTATGTGGTTTGGTGGTTTTTTTATAATAATATTATTGTATGCGCAGTTTACTTGTCGTGGTAAAAACCGGTAACACATTGATAATTGTAATCACTGAAATTTTTTCTGTGCAGTCGATGGCCGTGGATTGACTGGTTCGAATAAATCCGAGGAACATGACGTCGGTTAGGCATTGCGTACAACATCGTACTAATTAATTTTTATTGCAGGAACGAGCATAACAAAGCAGTGGCTAAAAGATCTGCCAGACTTGTAAATCAATAAACCATGGAGCCGGGCAGATAAGCTGTCTTAGAGCATTCCTTTCACCACTTCAAACAGGTTTAAGACAGCGGCTGCCAGCTGCGGGTATTGATTAGGTGGTTCTGCAATCAAAACAAAATTTAGTTTGCAGTGCAGATTGAAAAACGCAATACTCTGAAGCTGCCCGTATTTTAGCGGTTACGCGCGCCAACGTTCTCAACACCAGCTTTCATGCTGCCATGCGCTACATAAGGTGTCTTCCAAAGATTCAGGAGTTTTCTGTTTGTGAAATGCAGCAGTGTATAGAATGAAGATTCACATACTCAAAACGTTCAAGCTAAACTGCGGGCAAAATCCAGTTACAGTTTTCTCAGTTTATTGATGCACGTACTTATAGCATCGCATTCTGGTTTAATTCCACGATAGCCACATTTTGGTTCATTAGGAGGCGGGCTATCACGGTTGTACCACACAATTTGGCGGGTGCTGTTATCCACTGGGTCACGAGAGGGTTCCACGATTTTGCGCTTGGCAGAATATTCCATAACTGGCTAGAAGCAGATCGAAGACAAATAGCAATCTGAGGTTAGCAGTTCGCAAACGTAGAAGTAGTAATTCGTAAAATTTGTCAATTATTATGCATAGTAATGATGAAAGCGATAGAAAAATACAGTCACCCGATGCGTTACCTCAGTTTTCTGCATAATTTAATCAAGTTCAGTGGTGAATATGCAGCTTAAGTAATGGTTCTGTTATTAGAACACTGATTAATTTACCAAAAACATGCCGGTTTCGGCATCTAACTGGTTCAGTGTCCAGTCCGTCTCGCGATCGCCGTTAGCGCTAATGGTAATGTCTTGGCCTAAAATGGTGTACGTGCGGTTCCACATCAGTTTGCTCATTGAATACGCATCATGAGGATTTCCTCCAGCCGCGATAGTGTGGTTTACCACCTAGAGTAGAAGTCATAAGTTCAATTCAGACGAAAATGTACAACATAGTAGCCCACAAAAATCAGCAATTTTGTTCTGTGTCGTAACTGTTGCAGTCAAACTCCACTACACGAATTGAACCCTGGACTGTTAACCGACTGGCTAGAGCAGTTTACTGATCATTACCTTGGCGTAAATGGCGAGGGCGTAATAGTACGCCATGGCAAATTGGTTGACCTTCCATAAAATAAAACAGAAGGGGTTACGGTGTTACCAAGTGTTCGCTTAAATTCGTTTTGATTAACAATGTATTAAAGGGTACGAGCGCTGGGTTTTATTGGATTTGGTTACACTTACTTCCTCTCCAGTGGCATACGTGTAGTCGAAGCTGCTTTGCGACCGTCGCTTTATTTCGTCTCTAACATTGCGGTACTCAGGCGTGGCATACGGTTTGCGTAGAGATAATACGAAGAGTGAACGAAATGCGGTACGGACATCCTGGCAAGCAAACCAAAACGAAAAACGAAACAAGCTTGAATACAGCAAGACTTTTTAACAGAGAGGTTAAAGAACAAGAACAATATGGGAAATCCACAACTTTATTGATCTGGTTTTGGAAATCGTTCTTACCGCATCACGCTTATCGCTGTCTCCAGTATCCGAAGGAATACTACCGAAAAATTTTTTGCTTGGATAAGGTTCAAATGCGAAATAGACCTGCAATTAAACGAAAACTCAAACTTTTGAGCTCACCACGAACACTACTCTTTTAAGTTTGTTTAAACCCGTTTTACATAAAGGCAGAAATTACACTATAAAATATACAAAAAACACACAAAGAATTGTTCGCTAAAAAAGGTCTTCACAGGCAGTAGCTGCTGAATTCTTCTGGACGCAATAAAGGACTCCCGGCTTAGATGCTGCTGGATTTGTAATGAAAAGTTAGTACTTCAGATATGCAAGGACGAAACGCGTTGCAGAACTAATCCTAATTTATTTTGCTAACTGCCCCAGCTTGGCTGAGTGAGCAGGGCTGCAACTCACATAATCGCCCTCCGTCATCTTCTTATCAAACGCTGCCAGCTGAAAATACACCACAAAATCTTTATGGTATGTGTAATAATTCACACTCGTGTAGACGATACCGGCACCAAGGTTACACGGTTTACCATGATCGGACGAATCCGGTCGCCATGGGCAATGATGATGACAACTGCAAAACATTCTTGTTTACCGTTAAGGAAGAAGGGAAAATTTCGTATCCCAGTCAAAAGAAGAATAGGTAAAAACCGCATTCTTTATTAGGAAAGGAGCAGAACAACCCTCGTGGATTTCCACGAATGAAAATTTGGAAGCCCAGGGGCACTAACCGTTAATAATTTGTTGATATAAGTGAACATACGTAATTGTCGTATTATAGGTGAATAATAATATTAAGACGAAAAGCACGGGCTAACCGCCAGACACACATTTTTTCACGCACCTCGAGTAATCGCTTTTATCTCTTCCAAATAAAACTTGACATTTTGCTCGTCTGTAGCATTTACGTAGAACCGGCTGGCGCTGGCGTTATACTGCAGACGAAGAGTATCGAATACGCCTGTACACGTTGACACATATAAACCCAAATTATCATTGGCATCATCACATAAGTCCGGTTCAAAATAGACCGGAAATTTAGGAAATCCTAGCAATTGTGAGAATTCTGCAAAAGCTGAGTAACGCACGAGATAAGATAAGCGCTCATAACTGGTCCATATTGCGATGATGTGTCTTTTGCACGTTTGTATCCACGCCCCAAATATTCATAAATGTTGCTCTAGAAAAAGCTACTCGAGAGTAGCATATTCGAGCGTCAAAGGCGCCAAAGTTGATAATTTTCTCAGACAACAAAAGCACGCACCAAACTAGAAGTGAAACGCAGTCTACGTAAACTGTATTCTGGTGTACTTACTTTCTTATAGAAATTAATTACGATCATTAATACTCTCACTCACTCTCACTGGATTCTTTACTACTGCCAAAAATTGCTGCTTACAATTATCTAATTACTGCCATGCCTCCTAAACCAGCAACAGTATCGCAACCAGCTCGCAAGAAGGGCAGAGCGACTGCCGCACAAACCCCACGCATCATCCCAGCTCCGCTTCTCACTTCTGCCCAGTCTGCTCTCCAAGTCTCCGCTTCACCGGCGCTGCCAGATAATCCTGCCGCTCGATCAGATGATGCCGGTGTGCGCGCTTATGAGAGATGGTCAAGGGAGGAGGAGAGAGCATTGGTGGACTGGCTTACTGATTTGACCAACTATGAAAGATGGAAATCAGCTGGACAGGCTGCTGGCCCGGAGAATGCGACAAAGAAGACCGGCGGAGAAACCAAGATAGCTGTAGCACATGCCATCTCCTTACATATTTCTACGGCCTGTAAGAAGGAGCGGATCGATGGCCAAAAACTCAAGCTAAAGATAATGGTTCGAGCAAAGATACAAAGCGGCAAACGACTGGTTAAACAACACCGGCGCAGGCATCGAGCCAGACCTGGATCGCGCAGGAAGGCTGCAGTCGAACAAAATTAAAGGTAAATAAACAAACGCAAAGAACTTATTTTAAAAAGGTTTAAAATTTAAAAAATGAAAGTTTCTCCTGAATTCGTGCTTATTATTGTCTGACTTATTGTTGCAACACACTTTTCATCTTTTTAACAACTTTACAATGTCATCACTTTAAAATTTGTTTCTGCTATAGCAGACAGTTTAAACTAACCATGAAACTGGGAAATGAAGCAAAATGAATGAAATTTAAATTTTAAAAAAATTGTTTTTTATTAACTTTTTAACGTTTTTTGTTGATGGCACCAAATGTGTTGTTAGTGCTGTTAACTATTGCAGTGTTCATTAATGGTCGTTGACACTGCGGATTAAACATTTTATTATTGTACATAGCATGATAGTACATACTATAGTACATGCAGGAAGGCGTAGTACTTCAGGTATACAGTATACTGTATAGTTATGTAAATAATACACAGTATGCATGCAGAACATGTAAAGAATAAAGAATTTAAATGAATACGTACATGCAAAATTAAATCATACATTCATATGCGCACCATTTGCAATAGCATGTATAATTGCAGATGTTCTAATCAAGATGTTCCCTTATTTTTACGATCTCGACCCGGTCTTCAGCCTTCGCGCATCGTTTCAGCCGCCGTATGTAAAAGAGACAGGCGTGGAAGCTGCGAGCGCGCAAGAAATTATGTACCCTGGAGCAGATGGGACAGATGCTGACATCGATGATAGCGCCGACGCGGATCCACAAATGCCGCCGGCACAGCCATCGTCCAGCAGTAGTACTGCGACCAAACAGACTGCAAGCCCAGATGAAGATCACCGCAGCCATGCCGACAAGCGTCTGGAGGGCGACGCAAGTTCAGATTCCGACGGAGAAATTTCTGCCCGTCATATAAAAGAAATTAAGGGACGCAAAAGAAAACGTTGAAGAAACCACCATCTGCGAAAGCTACGATGTCGTTTTCGGAAACGCTTATGCATTTGGATAAGGGCCGATCGTCTCGGTTGGAGAAAAAAATGGAATCCACAAACATGCGCGCCATGGAAAAATCTGCACTTGAACGAAAAAGGTTGGAGCTGCAGGAAAAACAACTGGAAGGAGAAGCGGAAGAACGAAAGATCCGGTTAATTGAGGCAGAAAACAGACGTATGGAATTTCGACTAAGGTCAAGAGAAACTGGTTTGGATTTGTAAGAATAAATGTGCTGTTTTAATTAAATGCCGAACAACTGATTAATTATTTTCCACTTTTTTATTTCCATCAGCACTGCATCGCGGTTAGAAATTACACCTGCATACAAAATTATTTTATTCTGCCATACTAGTGAAAACCGCGTTTTTCATTCCTTCCCTTTTCTGCGGCCCTTCTTCTGTTTCTGGAATTGAATCTGGTGCTTGGTTTCCCGGTTCGTTCGATGCTTCGTGTGGCAGCTGCCCCCACTGCATATCGTATGGATCGCTCATTTCGATACAAAAATTATGCAATACTACACAGGCGCGGAACCATAGAACAGCACGAGCGTGGTCATTTTGACAAGTAATTACATTTCTTAGTCCTTTCAAACACTGAAAACGATTTTTTAACATGCCGATACAGTGCTCTACACGTACTCTAGTCTTTGAATGCTGCTTGTTGAAGCGCCGGTTAGCCAAACTTTTGCGCTTTTCCGATTTCCGGTATGGCGGCAAAACTGTTGTGCTGATTGCGTAAGCGCTATCCGCCAAAATGTACTAATCCTTTCTGAAATATTTGCGCGGGTTCCGGTACAGGTCAGTGCTCTTGTAAACACGGCTATCGTGAGCAGAGCCGGTGAAGCCACATGACGTATAAATAATTTGCTTTGGATAATCGCATACGATCATGGCAGATAAAGCGTACCGCTTCTTCCGGTTGAACCTCATCGTTTAAGGAAGGTTTCGCGGCAAGGGCAATGTCGGTACCGTCAACGAAGCCGATGCAGCTGGGAAAATGACACTTATCTTTAATTCGTTTCTTTATTATCCGTTTCTCCGCTGTGCTTGGCCACCGTACCATATCCTTTTCTAAGGATACAATCGCAACAATAACACGCTTCGTAAACCAGTCAACAGTCCCTTCCGATATCCCAAATTTGCGAGCCACAGTTGCGACAGCAGCGGTATTTCCGCATGAACCGAACCGGCACAGGGCTACTGCGAGTTGTTTGGCGACAAGTGCTTGGCAGTGATTGGACTTGCCTTTAAAAATTGGATGGTCGATGATGCGGCCAAGTACGGCATCAAACGTTGCTCGCGACATCCGCATCTCCTGTCGAAACCGGCTTTCATCCAGGCTGAACAGAAGGTCGTCGTAGAAGGCGGTGTTCTTTGGTACAAACGACCTCGCAACATACCGTACATTATCCAGGTAGAAACGCAACATCAAAGGCGAAATTAAATCAGAAAATTCATCATCGCTTCTGTCTTCACTATCGGAATCGCTGCTACTGTTATCAGAGTCTCCGGACTCACTACTACTATCATCAAAGTAATCCAAGTAGTCACGTAAAATAATATGCTCAAGTAATTTGATGGCCGGAAGGTGTTCATTAACTCGCCGCGACATTTTTAAAATTAATTTTCTGCACTGTTGTTCTGCAGTAATAAGTCCAATGCAAGCTGTGCCATCATTGAAAACAAAACTGCGCTTTCTCTTAACTGCACGATTTGCCGCTCTCAAAATTGGGTACTACTAAAGTCTGTGACTGTGACTGGGTGGGACTGGGTGGGACTGTGAGTCTATGTGACTGGGACCCTATGTGACTGTGACCGTCTGTGACTGTGCCACACTGGGCCTGGGAATGATTGGGACTGTGACCTTTTGGGAATGGGGCTTGAGGTTGTAGCAATCCGCTAACCAACTGACAGGGCACTTCCGGTCAAATTTTTTAACTGGCTTTTTGTGTTAAAAGGCAGTACTTGCAAGCTTCTTCTGTAAGGCAGTACTTCGTAAGGCACACTTTTATCTTGCACACTTCCAAGAAAATTAGAATTACAGCAGATATTTTTAAATTGAATGGTTCAGGAAAAGCGAAGCGTTGAAATCGGTGGCAGACTGCGCCGCGTGCTGGTTGAGTATTGGGTTTACTTTCCGAAAAACGTTAGTGTGATAGAATCATTTCACATATACGAAGACAAAGCAAAGAAGCCGAAAACAGGTGCGCTGTCTGGCTTCCAGTGTTTCCTTCAGTCGGTCTTTGAGACGCCTGCATAGTTCGAATCCTTATCTCACAGAGCAAACGATAGGATCAAGACCAGATTAAACCTACGTGTGACAGCCTAGGAATTTGAAAGGCTTTTGTTTGTTGATGTTTGCTGCTTACGAATAATACCGCTCTGTACCCTAAAGTGGTAGGCAGACAGATAAGAACACAGCTGAGGGATACCGCATACTCTGTGTAGCGTCGTGATCGACGACTAAGTTCTCCCAAATAGGCTAAAATAATGTGTCGTGATACACACTTTGTATACATGTGTAGCTTGTATTTTTAGTTGACCAAGTGTGCAAGATAAATGAACTTCAAACCATTTAAAAAAGCGAAGGAGGGTCTGTTGAAGATAAAAAAATTATGATTAATGTTACTTCCTACTAATTTTCTTGGAAGTGTGCAAGATACGAGTAAAGTGTGCCTTACGAAGTACTGCCTTACAGAAGAAGCTTGCAAGTACTGCCTTTTAACACAAAAAGCCAGTTAAAAAATTTGACCGGAAGTGCCCTGTCAGTTGGTTAGCGGATTGCTACAACCTCAAGCCCCATTCCCAAAAGGTCACAGTCCCAATCATTCCCAGGCCCAGTGTGGCACAGTCACAGACGGTCACAGTCACATAAGGTCCCAGTCACATAGACTCACAGTCCCACCCAGTCCCACCCAGTCACAGTCACAGACTTTAGTAATACCCCTCAAAAGTGCCCGCTCGATGCAGATATGTGATGCATCATTGCCGTGCAGTTATTTGCTGTTTGTTAAGGTTCAAAGTGCGATTTTTTTAAGCGTGTGTCACAGATTTCGATCGTTGAAGTCTTCGTGATTGAATCTTGAGCCTAACTATAGTATTCCCACGGTGCTGTAGCTGAAGTGATCTAATACTCTGTACAGGAACACATTCAGATTTTGATGAATATAGGGAGAGAAGTTGGTTAGTGTTGGATAACGCTTCTTGTTGGATAAACCATAATCTTCGAATGTGCTGGAAAGACATAAAGCTGTTTAAAGTGACTGCATATAAAACGCTAAAGACAACATGCTTTTTAAAGATGTTCCGAAAGAAGCTAAACTTTTACCGGTAACATTCTGCTGCTGCAGCCTACGGGTACTTACGTAGCTAACATCAGAGTATTCCATTCTGCAAAGGATTTAATTATTATTTGTCGTTCATAACCGTAAAGATTTCGTGCATACATATTTAGGTATGCCGGTAAATAAATAAATGAGTGACGGAAAAACGGGCCAGTTGTACCGTACCGATTTTAAATACGAACTATTCTGCAAACTTTTAGTATCACTTTTTGCGATTAGCTACGATTATTTGCCAACGGCTCCTTGCACTTACTTACCTCTAGCCAAAGAGGCTACAGAAGAAGCAGCTGTTCGGCATCCTATAACAAGAAATAATCTATAAAAACTAATAGCGAAATTTATCCATCACATTTGATGCAGTAAGCATTTCCCTGTATTACCGGGGCCAAATATCCCCAGGACAGGATGTCCAACCAAATTATGGTAATAATAGCGTGTGGCCCAGAATGTAGCTTTCTGGTCCATCCCGTCGCATGTTGTCACGTTGCGGTCATAGATCACGACTCTGGTTATATTCATAACATCCTTGTAAGTCGCCAGATCTTCTTCTGCCTTGGCCATCACAGGAGCGACGAAGCTCAGACTGGTTGGGGTCTTGTCGCCCCACAGAGAAAACTGCAATAACGCAACGTCCACGGTGGATGCCATTGCAGGCCTGACAACAGCATAAACCGAAAGAAACCGAAGAAAAGAAACTGTAAATATGGATGGATACATTGCGGGTGCACGTGACGAAATGATATACCGTAATTGCCACCTTAAAGTTTACTAAATGGTTGGAGTATACTTCATGATAAAAGTAGATAACTGTCCGCTTTTCGTGTGTTAGCTGACTGAATTTACAGTGACAACGGGAAACTAACGCGCCGCAAAGGAAATTAACAGAGAACGACTTTTTACAAAGTTTTGCTTAATAACTGTGTGTGAAAATGGTTTACTGGTAGGCTAGACAGTCTCCTGATGACTTTTTTTAACGGCCCTTGACAGCGAAATTGGTATATGTAATTGGCTGGAGGATCTCTGCTAGTGTTATAGTCGAAACCGGTTTCCGCATAATCTTCAAAATTTTGTTAAATGCTTGATTGTTGCCTAATTGTTCTTGGTTATTAGTGGAACGATGAGTGCATATCTTGTCTCACGTTTTTTTCTCGCGACCAGCAGGTTTGCGATCGCAGCGACCCAAAACAAGAAGAAAATAGAGAATCTGATGGCTCTATCAAGCACGCAACAAAACTAGTCGACATCTAACGGGTTTTGCCAATGTACTGCGGTCTTAGCGAGTACACGACGGCTTTTAGTGTATTCGTTATTTTTCTCGATTGTTTCGGCATATCGTAAAATGATGACAAACAGCTCCATCTCTGCCTTACGGTGTGAGATTATATTTTTTGTGTACTTACTAACTAAATAAACGACTATTTATTTTTCTGTTTCCCGTTCGCTTTAAATAGTTGTGACACAGGCATTAACGCTTCCAAGATTCGTACTACTGTATGTTATCGCGCACTGACACAATCATGATAATTGGTAGTCTTTTCAAAATAATGATAATTGGTAGTTTCTTTTCAAAATGATAATAATAATGATAATTGGTAGTCTTTTCAAAATAATGATAATTGGTAGTTTCTTTTCAAAAAGACAGAGTGCAGTGTAAATGTTCTGTTGTGAAACTATGATTGGCAGCTTGGTGGAAAATCTACATCTGTCAGTCATTTCTGGACCGAGCGAAAGTTTATCGAGGCCACAGAAACCGCTCGTCAAGTGTGCTTATACATAATCATGACATTCTCAAAAGCGCCTGTTAAGTCGTACACTGCGTTGCACGGGATACGTAGAAACAGCCGTCAAACTCTTCGAAAATTTTTTGCAGTTCTCGTTAAACTTAGCTAACAGCAGACATTTCGGGGAAAATTCATGCATTGTGGAAACGTAAGAGCCGGTCAGTTAAACTCTCACCGCTTCAAATAAATCCAGGATAGCGGCTTCTAACTTTTGGAATTGGTCACGTTGCTCTGAAAAGCAAAGAAAAGTGCATCAATTTTAGCGTAAAGCTTTTCTGATGCAATATCTCGAATGCGCCTCATTCTGAACGGTTGCATAATAATTTTATGCCCATACAAGGGGGCCGGGACAAGTTGGCACAGTTGCATAAAATAAAGGTGACCACTCCGTACACTTTCTTCACACCCCTTTTACTTACACACAACCTTTTGCAATTCCTTTCATTCCGTGCACAACCTTTTGCGCTACCTTTCATTCCGTACAACCTTAATTTTTTTTTAATTTTTCACAGCAGAGTTATTTCTGGAATAAATAAAACGCGCAATCTCGACCGTTTTTTGATTTTGGAATAAAGCAACGTTTTTCACCTAATCTCCGCAAGATCTGCCCGTAACACTGTATATTCAATCTTCGCTTGCCACTTGAGTTATCTGTCGACGCTGTCATACACCAGGACGTCTTCGTCGGAACAGTCCCATGATGTTGCAAAAAGTAGTAATAGTTTTTTTTGTAGTTTTGCTTTTCTGTAGGGATATAGATTAAAAGTATTTAAGTGTAATATATATACTTAAATATATATATGAAAGTTTGGTAGTGCACCGAGTGAATGGTAGTGCACAAAAAGGTTGTGCACGGAATGAAAGGGAGTGCAAAAGGTTGTGTACGGAGTGAAAGGGTGTGAAAGGGTGTGTACGGAGTGATCACCTAAAATAAATTAAAAAATAAATATGTATAGCAGATTTTGTTTCCCCTTTTGCACATTTTGGTATAACTTTTTATTGGTGATTCAATGGTTCAATGGTGTTGCCTAGAGCAGCTGAACGCCTAAACGCACTAGATAAAATAAAAGGAAGGAAACAGAAAGTGAGTGTTTAGATAAAAAGGTAGGAAGCGACCGTAAGAAATCCACGCTATTACTTGATAATTATTAAACTTCTCGAGGTTTAAAATGTTTCTCGGATGAGTTTGATTTTTCTCAGTAAGCAATGGCGATTTTTGCACAAATAACTAAATTAAAACTTTAGCTCCTGTTCTCTCTCTGTACTTCAGCTCTTTGCATCAAAATATAATTTTAAAGATGTCACAGACCAAGAACTATTACGGAACAGTTAAATAAAAATTGTGGACTTCATTGGTAGAAGTAAACGAATTTCGTTGGCTGTCCCAACTTTGCCAGGCAGGGCCGTATGATTTCTACCTAGGTATCTGTACTGTATTATCCGACGTTCTGGACGCTTTGCCATGCACCTTTAAGCTAGGGCGTCTGCCAAAGCAGCCTCACCAACGCAAAAAGTATAGAATGAAAATTCATGAACTTAAGCCGTTTTACAATAAATCAAATCTAATGATACATGGTGGTTTGCGTAAGCCTTTATTCCATGTATTGCTCAGCGGTAGAATGGTTATTAGCACCAGTGAAAGTGGTGGACTTATATACCAAACGGTAAACAGGAGAATGACAATGCATGCATGTGATTACGCTTCTAGCGTTCTACACTTCTGACGCTTAAGGCGGTTTGGGGAAATGCATGATGTAAGAACTTTCACTGTAAACAAGGATCTGCTTAAGGGCATATCATTCATACTATCGTAACACTCTCCGTCTTTATTTCGAAGCTGTCCTCAGCTTCATCCGCGGTCGTAAATTGTAACGTGGCGTGAGCGGTTCATCGTCTTCGGGTACGTCGTCCTGTGCTGGTGCGTTGGCTTGATCGGTAGATTCAAGTTCTATGGTTTCTTCATTGTTGAGGATTTCGTGAGGGACTTCCGGTGGGCCAATCTCAGTGTCGTTGGCGTAGAGGATTTCATTGTCTGCATCCGTTTCTTCGCGTTCAGTAAACGGTCGTAGGCGTTCAACATGGACGATGTCGGTTTTCTTTCTTCCGTGTCGATTCCGGATTTCGTAATTGACGTTAGAAATTTGACGAACTACTTCCCAAGGTCCATGCCATTTTTTGAGTAGTTTTGTTGTCAGTTTTCCGGGTTCTTTGGAGGTCGTTGGTTGATGATCTGCGTTGTGTAATTTTGGAGGCGTCCGTAGTAGGACTAGGTCGCCAGGGGTAAGGTTGTGGTTTCGCGTTTCTCATTGTGGCGAGGAGCGGATTTATCTTGAGCGGAATTCACGCGTAGTTTGGCGAGTTCTTGAGCTGCTTTTAGCCATGTATGGACTTGTTGTACGTACTCTTGGACGCTATGGACTTCTTCAAGACCGTCGTATTGCAGTTGGAGGTCCATGGGAAAAACTGGTTGTCGTCCATAAAGTAATTCGAAAGGCGAGTGTTTCGTCGTCTCATTCTTCACGGTGTTGATGTACCATATAATTGCGGGTACATACTTATCCCAATCGCGGTGATTCGCGGACACGTAGTGGGAAATTGCGATGCTAATTGTTCGGTTCATCCTTTCCGTTAGACCGTTAGTCTGAGGATGGTAGGCGGTCGTAGTAGAGTGTTCTATGGCAAAATAACGTAGTAGACTGTCAATCAGGGAGTTGACGAAATGTTTGCCTTTATCTGAAAGAATTCGTTTTGGCGTGCCGTGGCGGTACAAAACTTGTTCAACGAGAAAATGGGCGGCGTTCGAGGCGGTAGCGACTTTTAACGGGTCGAGCTTCTACCCATTTGGTAAGGTGGTCGATCGCGACTACAAGGTACATGTTACCTTTGGAACTTCGGGTGAACGGGCCAAGGTAGTCGATACCGATAGTGTGGAAGGTCCGTATACTGGAATTGGTTGAAGGTAACCTGGCGGACGGTAGTTTGGAGATTTGGCGATCTGGCACGAATGACAGGAAGTAACGTAATTGAATACGTCACGTATGCAATTTTGCCAGTAGTATTTTTGATGGATTTTCTCGTACGTGCGGGATATACCGAAATGTCCAGAGTTGTCTTGAGCGTTTTCGAGGATCGTTCGCTGGAGGCTTTTGGGAATTACCATAAGAAAAGTTATCTGGTTATCGCGGAAACTATGCGATAGAGGACGTCACCACGGATGCAGAAGTGAATCCTTTTCAGTCGGTAATCGTTCGTAGTGGTGTCGCCTTGAAGAATGGCGATGATTTTTGCGCAGAAGTCGTCCTCACGCTGCATTTGTGAGACATTGTACGTTTTCAGGAAGAATAGCGGGGCACTTAACTGGTGTTCCTTTGGAACGTTTCCGGCGTCAAACGGAAATCGGGACAAACAGTCTGCCATGTTGTTGGCTTTGCCAGGACGGTAGCCAATTTTAAAATTGTAAGGACGTAAGCGTAACACCCATCTTGCTAACCTGCCGGTGGGATTCTTGCTCTTGATTAACCCACAAAGGGCGTTGTGATCGGTGATGATCTGGAACGTTTTTCCGGGGTTTCCCAAATACGTGTGGAAGTGCTCCACTCCGAAGACTACTGCTGCAAGCTCTTGTTCAGTGACAGAGTAGTTCTTTTCGCTAGGCGACAGGCTTCGGGAAGCGTAGGCCAGTGGCTTGACGTTTCCATTTTCATCCACTTGGTTCAGGACTGCTCCGAGTCCAAGCATTGACGCGTCGGTTTCAAGAATTAATTCTTTATTTTGGTCAAAGTGGACTAGTAACGGTTGATTGGTCAACAGCTTTTTAAGTGTTTCGAAAGCAATTTGTTGATCTTCACCCCAGTCGAAAGGTTGATCTTTTTGCGTAAGTTTATTAAGCGGATTCGCAATTAAGGAAAAATCCTTAATGAACTTACGGTAATGGTTCGCTGCTCCAAGGAAGGAACGTAGTGTTGTGAGATCCGTTGGTCTTGGAAATTTGGAAATGGCGGTGACCTTTGACTTGTCCGGACGGATTCCTTCCTGCGTAACGGTGTGTCCAAGGAAGTTCAGGGTCGTGCATCCAAAGAAGCATTTCGATGGTTTTAACATTAAGTTAGCTTCTTGAAAACGAATGAGGACTTCTTCTAGATGTTGGAGGTGGTCTTCGAAGGTGGGACTGTAGACTTGTACGTCATCTAAGTACACAATTACGTGCTTGAATTTGATGTCTCCAAGGACACTGTCCATGAGACGGGAAAACGTGGCAGGTGCATTACAGAGTCCGAATGGCATGACCTCGAAACGGTACAAACCGTCTGGAGTTAGGAAGGCAGTTTTATCTTTTGAATTTTCAGCCATCGCGACCTAGATGTATCCGGAAAGTAGATCCAATCCTGTGAACCATTTTGCTCCTTGGAGGACATCTAGACAATCGTCTATCCTTGGTAAGGATAGGAATCCTTTTTTTGTAATGTCATTGACTGGTCTGTAGTCAATACAGAGACGGAGGTCCTGTGGTTTCTTCGGCACAAGGACTATGTTGCATGCCCAATCCGAGTTACATGGAGAAATGATACCTTCTTCAAGCCATTCTTTTATCTGTTTGTTAATGAAGTCTCGCTGCCATGGGGCGTGGCGTCGTAATTGTTCGCGTATCGGAGGTGTGTTCCTGTGTCGATGCTGTGTTGGATCTTATTCGTTCTTCCAACTTTCTTTGTCTTCGAAGGAACAGAACGCGGTATTTGTAGAGTAGCTTCTGCATGGCATCTTTCTGAGCAGTGTTCATGTCACCAAAATTGAACTGCTTGGCGAATTCGTCTATTGGGACTTCGGTTCCTGGATTTTCGGAAGCTTCCTTGAGTAAGTCAGTGGGACTTATCATAACATTCGATTTCTTTATGTTCGGGTCGGACGTGTTCCACTAGCGCTATCGAGAGGCGGCGAAGGGTTTCTGTGGAACGCTCATTACCTGGGGCCGCGCACAGAGAGAAGCTGCAGTCTTCTGGATCCTCTGGCTTTCCATGGTATCCGTGCTAAAGACGTTGGACTCAGGACAAACGGGATTGGTGTAGTTTTGCGCGCATTTTGTTTGTCTTGAATCTTCCGTAATCGGCATGGATCCTGGAATGACGGTGTAAGACGTCGGTGGACGCACACAGTCGACTGGAAGAGTTTCCCAGGTTTTCGGGTTAATTAACAATTTCTTTGCGAAACTGACCAGGAAAGGTGACTGACTAAGAAAATCGTTGCCCAATAGGATTTGAAAAGGAAAATCTTTAACGATTCCGAACGTAACAGTTGCTGAATGGCTAAGAATTTTTAGTTGAAGCTTACATGCATTTGCCGGCTGTATGATGCTATTGTTCACTGTTGCGAGAGACGGTCCACTCCATTGGAATTGCTCGAATTTCTGCTTGAAGGCGAACTTATCGTTGATGAGAGATACTCCTGATCCGGTATCCAAAATGACAGTAGTAGGCTCATTATTGATTGCGAGCGTAAATGCTAAGGCACCGGTTGCGAAGCTGCATAGGGGAATAAGCGGTGTGTTGCCGTCAACTTCATGAGCCGTGGAAGCTGCGGCTAGAAGTTTAAACTATTCTGCGGAAGTTCAGTGATCTGAGCGCGGGAGGCCATTGCTGGTTGGATTGCTCGTTTAGCATTTTGACGGTTGCGGCATTCTTCGAAAGTATGGCCAATGTATTTGCAAAAACTGCAGAACTTACGTCGATTTCCATTGAAACGATTTCCTCCTCGTCCTCCGTATCCTCTTCCCCGTTGATTTCGATGATAGAACCCTCTGTTGTACGTCTGGTAGCCACGACTGTCGCTCCGGCCAAAGTTCATTTGCGAGAATTGACGTTCTATGGCAGCCATTCGATCGTCAAGTTTTGACTCATTCTTACCTTCAAAGGTACTGGTGAACAAAGCGGCGACAACCGGATTCTTGATGTACTCGGCAACTTCCTTGCGGGTGTTGCTCGCTTCATATTCTTTCTCACGACAACAGTTTTGAGTTGTCCAAGGAATTCTGTAGGTGTAGTAGGCATTTTCTGTACAAAACCGGATTTTATGTTAGCTGGAAGGCCATCAAGAGTTTGTTGACAATTTCTCTTTGACTGGGTTGGTCGCTAATGGAATTGAGGTAGCGCATTACGTTGGAGTAGTATTCATTGGGATTTCCGGCGTACGTCAGGGACTTTTTCGTGTCTTTCGCCAGATCGTAGTCGTATATCTGCTTCGCGAAGGCTTCTCTTAGGGCTTTCCTCATCAACTGCCATGTGTTGGTGGTGGCTGGAATGGTGTTGTATATTCGCAAGGCTGTTCCATTGAAGCATCGGTACAGGTTGTGAAGGGCGTCGTCGTTGGACCACTGATGTTGCTTGGCACACATCTCGAACTTAAGGAGCCAGTCTTCAAAGTCTTCATCTTCGTCGTTGGAAAACTGCGGCAGTTCTTTTGTTGGAACTTTCTTTTTGTTGGCGGCCGACATCTGTTGGATCACGTCCGAGGTCTTGCTGGCATTGTCAACGAGGTTCTGAAGTTGGTAGTTCTTGGTGGTGAGCTGTGCGACATTCCGTTGTAAAGCATTGATGGCATTAGCATAACTGCTAAGAACGTTACCAGGAGTTTCCTGGGTTTCCTCTGTTGTATCCCTCATATCCATGCCCGTGATGCGCGCTGGACGGCACTCTGTGCTTTTTCCAAAGTTACTGACAACTGTCTGTCCGTGGATGATGGAAGGCGAAACCTGAGCCTTTGTTCCTTAACGTCGTCGAATTTCTGGACAATTGCGATGTGGTCGTGGTATGTAAAGCCAGGGAATTGCTGATCCCTGGGATCAGGCGCTGGACATGGCGGAACTGTTGCTTGCATTAGTTTCTAGGGTTGGCTGCGTGTCGAGAGAAGCTGGCGGTAAGTTCTCAATGGCTGGTTGCAGTAGCGAATCCTCGTCGACTTCCAGGATAGCGGGATTCTGGACGGTGTCGGTTGGAACCGTAGGTAGCTCGGGTTGATCCACTGGGACGGCGGTGTCCTTTATGGGGACGATTGGCTTGCTCTAAATTGGCGTATTGTTCCTGTAGAGTAAGTGTAGGAAGTGGACACGAGACCTTGTTGCGGGTTGTGTGGCGACTGGATCGGAAGGAGGTGAGGGAGGAACAGGAACGTTGTCGGGGTCACGAGAGAGACGTTTGTCTCGGAGAGATTCCTCAATAATGGTGCGGTCGTCGTTTCGTCTTTTTGGTTTTGACGATGGAAACATGGAGCTTAACCAGAGCGGTTTGACTTACGGAAACATGGAGCTTAACCATAGCGGTTTGGACTTACCGAAAGGTCAAGGCAGAGTGCATAGATGTAGGTGATACTGTTGAGCTATACGGGTAGCGTGTATAGCGTAGACCGAAAGGTCGTGAGCTGTAGATGTTGCAGATGTTGTAGGTAGGTTCGTGCCATACAGGTAGAATGTATAGCGAGCACCTGGAGCCACCAAGTTGATACATGGTGGTTTGCGTAAGCCTTATTCCATGTATTGCTCAGCGGTAGAATGGTTATTAGCACCAGTGAAAGTGGTGGACTTATATACCAAACGGTAAACAGAAGAATGACAATGCATGCATGTGATTACGCTTCTAGCGTTCTACACTTCTGACGCTTAAGGCGGTTTGGGGAAATGCATGATGTAAGAACTTTCACTGTAAACAAGGATCTGCTTAAGGGCATATCATTCATACTATCGTAACAACGAACGGCAAAAATGAATCCCAGTCCTTTTGGTCTTCTGACACAAACATGGCTAGCCCTTCGGCAAGTGGCGACATCTGTCGCTCGACTGGGGAATTTCCTTCCGGGTGGTACGCGGTGGTCCTAATCTGTTTCACCCCTACTAAGTTATTAATCTCTCGTATTAACTCGCTCTGAAAATGTCGACCACGATCAGTAAGCAACCTTTTTGGCGTTCCAAAAACGAGTAAAATATTATGGACGTATACTCTAGCCACTTCGGCAGCAGACGCGTCTTTTAACGGGAACGCCCATATAAATTTATTCAGCGCATCTGTCAATACGCATACATGTACGTTATCGTTATGGCTCTTAGGTAAAGACCCCAGTAAATCCATACATATAGTATGTAACGGGCCGTGTACAGGCAACGCTTGTAAGTAGCCAGCTACCGGCTTGCGTGTTACTTTACGCATCTGACACTGTGGGCACGTTTTTATATATCGCTCCACATAATTCACCATGTCGGGCCAGAAAAATCGGCTCTTTATTAAGCTACAAGTTTTATCAATGCCTTGATGGCCAGCCAGCGGTATATCATGGCATGTCCTCATTACGTCGTCCCGTAACTGTTTTGGAACCACTAAACAGTTGAAGTCATTGCCACCATGGCGTCGCTTGCGGTACAAAACTCCCTCGCGGAAAAAGTAATGCTTCTGCACCTTCAAGTACTCGCCGTCCGCGGGGGGGTTCATGATGTGGATGAGCTTATTCACCGCCGGATCCTCTTCTTGCTCTTTCCGGAGCCACTGGGCGTCTTTCCAGTCAGCGTCGTCCACTGTAATGGAGTGTATGTAGAACGGTAGGCTGTCGGTCATATCTGGCTGAGGTGGTGCCACTGGAAAACGGCTTAAGCAGTTTGCGTTATGGTGAGCCACCCCCGGGCGGTACTGAATATCCATATCTAGAGTATTCAACAATATCGCCCACCTTGCCAACCGGCTATTATTGCCTTCGTAATTACGGATTGCCGTTAAGGCGCGGTGATCTGTCTTGACAGTAAAATGATTAAATTCAAGATATTGCCGGAACTTCTCGTAAGCAAAAACAATAGCTAACAACTCGAGATGTGTGGCCGGGTAGTTCTTCTCTGCCGGACTGAGGGCGCGGTTACAAGTACTCACGATACGGCCTTCCTGGCTAAGTATAGCGCCGACACCTATTCCACATGCGTCGGTTTCTACAATTATCGGTTTTGCAGGATCAAAACGAGCCAAAATAGGCGGGCTAGATAACAACCCTTTGATTTTATTGAAAGTGCCAAATGGGCGTCAGACCATTCTTTCTTAAAATTTACGTTCTTCCTCGTCAACGGCGTAGCTTATGCGTCGCGTGTGTCATTTCGACGGTAAACTTACGGTAAAAGTTAGCCAATCCCAAAAAGCTTTTCAACGTAGATGCCGTCTTTGGCACTGGAAAATTAACGATACTTGCCGTGATGGCAGGATCTACTGCTATGCCTGTCTTACTTATTATGTGTCCCAGAAATTTAATTTCGTTAAATGCCATGCCACACTTTTTTGGCTGAATTTTCAGACCAGCATTTTTCAGTAATCCGAACACAATATCCGCGCGCTGCAGCCACTCATCGAAGGTATGGCCGAAAATAATTATATCATCAATATAAACCAATGGCATAACCCACTTAACACTTGCTAAAATCGTGTCCATCATTGCTTGAAAGGTGGCTGGCCCATTGCATAAGCCAAAAGGCATGCGTAAGAACTCGTACAGCCCGTCCTGCGTGCAGAAGGCCGTTTTGGCGCGATCTTCTGGAGCAACCGGTATCGACTAATACCCCGAGTAGCAGTCTAAACTTCCGTACCATTCACAATCGCCCATGGCACACGATAATCAATACAGAACCGTACGCCACCTGACTTTTTCTCGACTAGCAATATGCGGCTAGACCAGGGCGAATTCGACTTACGTATTATGCCTTTGGCTAGCATATCTTCTACCTCCTGCATGACTAGTTTACGCCCTGTCCAGTCGTACCGCCGCGGTGTCTGCTTAAACGGCTTTGCGTCGCCGGTATCTATTTTATGCATTTCTTCTTTAACATCGCCAAAAGGCATATCCTTTGTAGGGAATACATTTTTATGTTTACGCAAAAGTGCCATTAGGCGATTAAACTGAGCTGATGTTAAATTAGGATTAACTTTAACCTCTTTTAACATCTCTTCAAATTCACTATCTGCCTCATCTGGCTGCTTCTGACCTACCAATTCCATTATTGAAATTGATAACTCCTCTGATACCTCAAAGAAATTTTCAAGCGTGCCAATTAACACACCTTTACGAATTACGCGCGATTTATTACTGACATTCATTATAGCCAAAGTAATGGCGGAGTTATTACAGCTCACTACAGCGTTACCCATCAACAGACCTGCGGTGGAGACTGTATTATTATTAGGAAAAAATACGTAATCGCCATTTGGCACAAATTTATTTAATTTAGATTTAACGGTGAACACTACTTCTGACCTCGCTGGTACTATCACTTCCTTGGACGTGTAAATCTTAGCTGGCCGAGCCAAGTTACTGTCCGCGGTATCGTTCGACGGCCGTTCTGGCGACAGGTCCACGAAAGCCGGACAGGCGGGGTGATCAGTCCCGTTGTCCAATCCAGTCACTTCCGGAGCGCACACTGGAGCCGGGTGGTCCGGAGCGGCGGTTACCTGTAACTCAGAATACCGTGTGGTGATCTCATCAAACAGTTGTGACCAGTCGCACAGACGTGCGAGCTGTTTCTTCATGTCCAGGTCGAATTTCTGACTCCGATATTCATTATCTAAGCGTTCTTCTTCTGCCTCGAGGTCTGCCAATTTGGCCTGATAATATTCCGGCTCATCGAATCGCATTCTGGTATTTTGGGGGTCGCAATGAAGCGCCAGACTGGCGACGCTAGCGTCTGCCGGTTTAAATTGAATTAACGTACTATCGCCATCGAAATCAATAGCTAACGGTTTCCCTTTAAAGAACTTTATGCCTAATATGAACGGCAAATGATGACTATCCTCCCTGACAAACACGTTATGCGGCCAGATAATATCACACAGTTGAATGCGTAATCTGGCATAATATCGGAATGGTGCCATGCGATGGCCTGAAATACCGACAACCGACCAAGGTGGGTAGCCTTCTGGCAATACTTCCATTTTAATACCGTTATCAATACAGAACTGTTTCGAGATTATCGAAATACCAGCTCCTGTATCTATCACAGCCTCTATTGGCACATTATTAATTTTAATAGCGTAACGTAAATCAGTAGTATACGAAGGTAAATCACCACATTTATCTTCAGTTAAGAAATCCGCTAAAGAATTAGCCACAGTGGCGTCTTTCAAAGCCGAATAAATTGGCAACTCAGACTTATCTGGAGGTAGTCGATCCTGACGCACAGCAGTCCCTCCGTCTACTGTGCCGGTCCGTTTTTTGGGCCGTAAGGGGAATTTCCAGATACACCGGTGCCATTCTTCTGGGCCATGGCGTAGGTCCGGCGCCGTTCCCTCATTTCCTCAATGCCTTTCGGAAGGGTCATAGGATGCACCGACCGATAGGGACACTGCGGTTGGGCGTGGTCCGGTTGCGCACAAAGTAACACCGGAAGTCGGGATTTACCGGCTTCGCGGCGCGGCTGCTGAGGCAACGGCGCAGACGGGTAAGAAGCCATCGGGGCGTACGCCGTCGGAGAAATCTGCGCATAAGGGGCCGAGCTGGCATAAGAGGGTCCGACAGACTGCATAAATGAGCTCGTGCTTCCGTATTGAGGTAGACTTGGCTGTGATGGTCGCAGCATGGGAGCTGATAGCATTAGCGAAACCGGTTCCGCCTTCACCGCTAAAAACGGCCTCTCGCTCGCATGTCCCGCGACGTATGCCGGCTTTCCAACCTT